GTTTACACAGTCACATGTGGGGACTGGCTTCCCTTATGGGGACAAAATGGTCATATCAGACGAGGAGAAAAGCATCTCAGAGGGGCATTGGTAGAGTGTTGGCCCAGAGGTAGAAGAGGTGTGTGTGTGTGTGTGTGTGTGTGTGTGTGTGTGTGTGTGTGTGTGTGTGTGTGTGTGTGTGTGTGTGTGTGTGTGTGTGTGTGTGTGTGTGTGTGTGTGTATCTATCTATCAACCTGTAGTTCAGCCTCTTCCTGCTCGAGCATTCTCCTGAGTATCTCAGTGGCATGTTTTTGTACTTCTGGGTCCTAAAAAAAACAAAATGTACAACAAACCTTTATGATGGTGTGTATGTTTACACACAAAAGTGAGTAAAATATTCATTATTTCTTAAAATACCAGCAAAATGACATCAATCCTTCAATTAAATTGGTTTACCTGCAGTGGTTTGGGTCCAGTGATTCTTTGCGATGGGGTACTGCTCAGTCCCGACGGCAAGGGGGGAGGCGGAGTCGGGGGGGCCTCCCCACCCAGAGACGTTCTTTGATTGGTGAGGTCCGTGTGGAGGGGCTCTAAGGGAAGTGAGGCTGAAAGGGGCGGTCCTTGTAGTGTCAGAGCGACATACGGTCCAGCTGCGAGAGGATAAAAAAAAAAAAAAGCAGGAATGGAGTCAGATAAATAAATGCTAAATATACAGAATATACCAAACACATCAATCATATTTCAAACTCACATTTGATGAGCTTTACCACCTCCTGATGGGACATGGAGGACACCAGCTGGCCGTTCACCTGAGAGAGGGAAAGAGAAAAGGAACATTAAAAACAGGAAAAACGAACGACCGTCAGATTTGTTATTTGGGATTAAAAGTAGTAACAACCTTTATGATTCTGTCCCCTTCATGAACCCCGGCCTTCACTGCTGCACCACCTGTAAAGATAAGTAATGACATACAGTGAAGATCACATAACAAAAAGAAAAAGAAACTGATATTTGTTGGGTGCTACCATATAATAACTCATTATCATCTCCCTACCATCAAGGTCATGTTGAATTGTGTACATGAACACTCAATTCAATCACAAAATATATATTTTACTTAATATAATAAAAACCCTTTTCATAACTGAATTAGATCTTTTGATAGCATCAACACATTAGCTATGTGCGTGCACTCAACTTCACGTCAATTTAAATTGTAAAAATCTATCAATTTGACTATATTATCTTTCCATTTTTTTGCAGTTTTTTGGAGAGCTTGATAAGACCGATCAGCGGTGCATCGTCTCACCTGGTCGGACATTCTGCACCAGCTTGACTCTCTCTCCACAAACTGTGAAGCCGAAGCCCGAGCTGGTCCCTTCTGCACGACCACGCATCTCTGGACAAGACCAGTGCCTGGGAGAGGAGGACAGAAGGACGGTCGGGAGTTATTTAATATATTCCTATTTGAAATGAATCCTGAAACAAAAGCAGGGAGGTTGTCGTTACCCGTACTCTCAGCAGGGATTTCCAGAATCGGCTCTCTCTGCTGGGCGGCAGACGC